TGTTGCTTCTCTACTTCATGTTTGTATTTCTAGGCTTTATGAATCATCTGCTACAGTTTGTTCTCTATTCTTTATGGAGAGTCCTATTTTCTCACATCTTTAAAAGATAATTGACTAAGGAAAACCTAAGGTAGGAGCATATCTTTTTTCTAATAGTATATATTCTAAAAATGATTGCTGTACGTGCACCAGTACCAATATCTTAGATGATTTAGTTTCAGAGCAGAATTGAGAGTAAGGTACAGAGATTTCCCATATACATATTTCTCTCATATGTGGACAGTCTTCCTACTTATTTCCCCACCAGTGTTTCCATTTGTTACCAGAGATGAATCTAGAAAGACATGAAATAATGTTTCTAGTTTCACCTTATGTTTCTCTTCTAGGGCTGTTCACTCTAGGGTCTGGGCAAATGTATAATAACTTGTGTCCATGAAAACAGTTTCACAGGATGACTTCATGGTCCTGAACGCACGATATTCATAGCCCCTGCTTTGCAACCCATGGCAACCACTGACCATTTTAATCTCTTCTACATTTCCGACTAGATTCTCAGGTGGCTCTGTGGTAAAGAATCCAGCTGCCAATGCAGGTGACCCGAGTGATGTGGGTTCAATCCTTGGGTAAGGATCCCCTGCAAGATCCCTTGAAAGAAGAAATGCCTCCCACTCCAGTGTTCTTTCCTGGGAAATCTCACAGACAGAGGAACCTGGCAGGCACAGTCCATTGGGTCCCAAAGCCTCAGACACAATGGAGTACCTGACAACATTCATCTACACCACAATGCCAGGTTGTAAAAATCCAACTTCTTGTGGCACTTTCAGATGGGCTTCTTTCACTTACTAAAACGCATGGAATGATTGTCCATGTGTTTTATACCTTGAAAGCTTAATATAAAAATGCTTAATATCTGTGTCTGCAGCTCTAGTCCTGCTCTTTATATAGGATCATCAATAACATGTTCTAGATTCCATATATATATATGTTAATACAATATTTTCACAAACATAGACATTAAACCTGTGGACACAGTGGGAGAATGAGAGGGGGCCCAATTTAGACAAGAGCCTCGACATATATTCACCGCAATGTGTAAAATAGGTAGCAAGTGGGAACCTGCTCTATAGCACAGAGAGCTCAGCGCGGGGCTCTGTGATGGCTAGAGGGGTGAGACGGAGATCGTGGGAGGGAGGTTCAAGAGAGAGTGGGTATACATATAACTATGGCTGATTGATGAAACTGTCCAACAGAATCTAACACAACACTGTAAAGGAAAACATTCCAATTTACGTATATATACATCTCAAAGATAAACAAACAGACTGATAACTCTGTTCTTAAGAATCCCCCTGACAGTGCGGGGCCCTAGGGCATCATCCCTGGTGCAGGAATACTCCACGTGCTGTGGGGAGACCATGCCTATGCCCCACAGCTGCTGAGGCTGGGTGGGACAACTTGCTCTTTTCGATGGGGAAGACACAAAAGAAAGTTGTTCACCATCGCTAAATATTAAGAAATGCAGAACAAAACTACAGTGATGTGTCACCTCATGCCAGTCAGAATAGCAAAAAGCCCCCTAATAATATCATAAACGCTGAAGAGTCTTGGAGATAGGGAACCTCCTGAATGGCTGGAGGGAATGTAAGCTGCTTCAGTCACTTGGGAGGACAGTGTGGAAGTTCCTTTAAAAATGTAACCTCCTGACATTTAAGGAAATGAATTCCCATAATAGTAGACAGGTTAGTTGGCATATTTATAAAATTTGCCGTTTTTAGTAAATCATCTGCAATTCTGAAATGACCAATTGTGGTCTAGCATTCCTCAATCCTTTAAGTAAATGTGTACTAATACACACCCACCCACATGTTCCTTGTATTTCTCACTGCTAGTGTTTATACCTTCAGATATTTATTTATTGTGTTCAATGTGTGCTATATAAATTATATAACATATATGCTTTCAGATATTTATATATGGCATTGTGTATGTCACAGCCATGAGAAAACAGTTCCTTTAAGCCTTACAAAAACATATGATAAGAAACAAGGTTAGATTTTATAAATCTTAGTTCAGAATTTTACCATCATGAATTTTAAGTATTCTTGTGACAAATGTTAAATTTACTTTTGCTTAAATGAGCCCATGAAAAGTCTTACTTAGCTCAATAGAAGAACAAAGGACAACTGAAGCAGGTGAGTTCATGACTCTAGGTCCTGAGAGAATTCACAGCAAGCTCTGAGTGAGGTCTAGGATAGAAGTGAGCAGAGAAAGAGGCAGTAACTGGGGTTCAAGTTTTTATAAGAGGCCCTAGGTGAAGTGCTGTGGGCTCCCCTGGCTGAATGTGGATGGGTCCATTCAGACCAAAAGTACTAGGATTGTGTGGCTCTGTGAGGGTGGCATTGAAGGGGAGCCTGTGAATAGGCCCTGGGGTTCAGCAAGACTGCTGGTCTCAAGAAAGGGGGTCTTCTAGTGCAAGTGCTCACACGACTGACTGTTGTGAGTGAGTTCAAGGACCTGCAGGCTGCCTGCTCCCCAGACAGATGCCGAGGCAGCAACAGCATGGAGCAGTTCAGGGGACCTCTCAACAGTGCTCTGTATGATCCTTCTTATTAGAACCGTCACGATGTCCTTGAAGCTACAGAGATGGGGAAAAGTACAATGGAGAAATAATGGGAAATATACAAACAAATGATTTGAAACTTAAGGGCAGGAAGGAAACTAATTGTTACAGACTTCACCCGTCTATGCTACCGAATAGTTTCTTGTTAGGTATTCTTTCCTGCAACCTTAAATTGCTAGGCTAACACTTCATTCATTACACACCAACATTTACACAAGAAACCATTCAGCTTTATTGTTTAACATGTATGCTTATCACACAGAAAATAAAAGCTTTTACACTCCACTATGTAACTTTGGTTAAAATACATATTATAAGCATAAAGAATGATATTCTTTCTTCTGATAAAATTATCTGAGAACTGTGATTTCTATGGTTACAAAAGGGAGGTTAATCATTTAAGAAGATGTACACTAATTACATGACTTTTCTGGGAAGTGTTTTTCCATACATTTCTAGGGTAGCAGAGATGTCTTTAATTGAAACATGGCAACTGATATTCATGACTTCTGTTGATATTATAAAATACATCAAGATTTTAGTGAACTGTTATTGTACTTTTCTTTAAAAGCAAGTGATATAACTATTAAAAATGTGTATCTTACTTTAATCTGTGGAATTATTGCCTGAACACTTACATCATGGTGACTTATAGGGAAGTGTGACATGAATGACAAACACCACCATTTAGATGTTCACTGCACATGTTACATTACTGTGTCCTTAATCTCATAATGGAGAAAAATATAAATGTTTTCTTCCTAGATAGAAGGGCTTCTCTCGTCTTTGAGGTAGCAACCATCAAAAACATAACTTTGCATGCACACTAGACATGAAATGTGGCATGGAGTAATTTGAGAATTCAGTTACATTCATTTTGGTTTTCAAATAATCACAAATCATGTCAGTATAAACAAACATACATAGCTAGTAACTGTACATGGCTAAGCATCACCTCTTCATCTTGTGATCCATACTAACATATCAATTTTCTGTCTATTTTAACTATGAATCACATCTACAATATTTCTCCCTAAGAGGAATGTCAGAAAACAGGATTTATGAAATGCTTTCTAGTATGCATTTCCTGATATTTATTTAGATTTGATTTTTTGTAAATACTTATTTACATTTTCTTTACGTCATTCCATATCTTTCTTATATAAACAGTCTTGGGTTTCCTGAACTGTATGTTCAGGAAAAACCTCTTCCATGTCTTACTTCATTACTAGGGTTTCCCTCCAGGACATGCTCTCTGATGTCCAGTGATGTGAGAGCTCTGATGAAAGCCTTTGCAGTTCTCCTTACATTTATGATATTTCCTTCAGTATGAATTATGTGATGGTAAGTAAGACCAAGTGCTGGGTTAAAGTCTTTGTCACAATCCTTACATTTATAAGGCTTCTCTCCTGTATGAATTCGCTGGTGTTGAATAAGAGTTGTGTATTGACTGAAAGCTTTTCCACATTCTTGACATTTATAAGGTTTCTCTCCAGTGTGAATTCTCTGATGGGAAGTAAATCTGAGTGCCAGGTAAAGCCTTTGCCACAATGCTTACATTTATAAGGCTTCTCTCCAGTATGAACTCTCTGATGGTACATAAGGGCTGAGTCTCACCTAAAGCCTTTGCCACAATCCTTACATTTATAAGGCTTCTCTCCTGTATGAATTCGCTGGTGTTTAATAAGAGTTGTGTATTGACTGAAAGCTTTTCCACATTCTTGACATTTATAAGGTTTCTCTCCAGTGTGAATTCTCTGATGGCAAGTAAGACCTGAGAGCTGGCTAAAGCCTTTGCCACAATCCTTACATTTATAAGGCTTCTCTCCAGTATGAACTCTGTGATGGTACATAAGGCTTGAGACCTGGCTAAAGTCTCTGCCACAATCCTTACATTTATAAGGCTTCTCTCCAGTATGAATTCGCTGGTGTTGAATAAGAGTTGTGTATTGACTGAAAGCTTTTCCACATTCTTGACATTTATAAGGTTTCTCTCCAGTGTGAATTCTCTGATGGCAAGTAAGACCTCTGTGTTGAATAAAGCCTTTGCCACAATCCTTACATTTATAAGGCTTCTCTCCAGTATGAACTTTCTGATGGGACATAAGGCCTGAGTGCCGGCTAAAGCCTTTGCCACAATCCTTACATTTATAAGGCTTCTCTCCAGTATGAACTCTGTGATGGTACATAAGGCTTGAGAACTGGCTAAAGTCTTTGCCACAATCCTTACATTTATAAGGCTTCTCTCCAGTATGAATTCGCTGGTGTTGAATAAGAGTTGTGTATTGACTGAAAGTTTTTCCACATTCTTGACATTTATAAGGTTTCTCTCCAGTGTGAATTCTCTGATGGCAAGTAAGACCTCTGTGTTGAATAAAGCCTTTGCCACAATCCTCACATTTATAAGGCTTCTCTCCAGTATGAACTCTCTGATGGGACATAAGGCCTGAGTGCCGGCTAAAGCCTTTGCCACAATCCTTACATTTATAAGGCTTCTCTCCAGTATGAACTCTGTGATGGTACATAAGGCTTGAGACCTGGCTAAAGTCTTTGCCACAATCCTTACATTTATAAGGCTTCTCTCCAGTATGAATTCGCTGGTGTTGAATAAGAGTTGTGTATTGACTGAAAGCTTTTCCACATTCTTGACATTTATAAGGTTTCTCTCCAGTGTGAATTCTCTGATGGCAAGTAAGACCTCTGTGTTGAATAAAGCCTTTGCCACAATCCTCACATTTATAAGGCTTCTCTCCAGTATGAACTCTCTGATGGGAAATAAGGCCTGAGTGCCGGCTAAAGCCTTTGCCACAATCCTTACATTTATAAGGCTTCTCTCCAGTATGTACTCTCTGATGGGACATAAGGCCTGAGTGCCGGCTAAAGCCTTTGCCACAATCCTTACATTTATAAGGCCTCTCTCCAGTATGAACTCTGTGATGGTACATAAGGCTTGAGAACTGGCTAAAGTCTTTGCCACAATCCTTACATTTATAAGGCTTCTCTCCAGTATGAATTCGCTGGTGTTGAATAAGAGTTGTGTATTGACTGAAAGCTTTTCCACATTCTCGACATTTATAAGGTTTCTCTCCAGTGTGAATTCTCTGATGGCAAGTAAGACCTCTGTGTTGAATAAAGCCTTTGCCACAATCCTCACATTTATAAGGCTTCTCTCCAGTATGAACTCTCTGATGGGACATAAGGCCTGAGTGCCAGCTAAAGCCTTTGCCACAATCCTTACATTTATAAGGCTTCTCTCCAGTATGGACTCTCTGATGGTAAGTAAGACTTGAGTGCTGGCTAAAGCCATCGCCACATTCCTTACATTTATAAGGCTTCTGGCCAATATGGATTCGATGATGTTGACTAAGTTTTGAACTCTGGTTAAATGCTTTGTCACATTCTGTACATTTGAAAGTATTCCATCCTGTATGAATTTCCCTATGTTTATGTAGATTGAGTGCATTAGTAAAGATTTTCTCACATTTCTTACACTTGTAGTTTTTCTTTGGATTCTGAATACTCTGCTGTGCAATAAGTTCTGAAGACTGATTAGAAACATCATACTCACTACAATTGTAAGTCTTCTCTCCAGTATGTGTACTCGTATTTAGTGAAAGCCCTGATGCTCGATAAAAGATACTCCTACATGTATTACTTTTTGAGTCCTTATCAGAAGATTGAGGTGCCTGATGTTTCCAAAGATCAGAGTCTTGTTCAATGTTATATCCACTGTCATTGCATGAATAGTTCCTTGCTCCATCATAAATACTCTGGTAACTATTGGGGTTGGAGCTCCTACTTAAGGCCTGACTCGTGTTATTACACATGAAAAGTTGTTTTATATTAACCCTATCACGATATGCATCAAACAGTGATGGCTGAATTAAGTCTCTTCCATTATTATCAACATTACACATTTTGGATTGGAGAGAACCTGTCTGTTGGTGGAAGAATAATGACCCGTTGCTCACAGACCCCTCAAGTTGATTATATTGTGAGTTGTCCCCATCATTTATAAACTTCTCCTTTTCAGACGTGGTTGAATGTATGTGTAATCGAAGTCTATGTTCATAGTGGTTTGAAAGAGCATTTGAAGTAGAGACTGGGTGACCTTGCAGATTTTCCACATTTCCCCTCAGAGAATGTGTGTGTTTCAAAAACTGATGTACGTCATTGCTTACAAAGATACACTGCGCGGCAGATGGTGATGACTGAAACGGGTGTTTTCCCCAATTTGACTCACAGTGTTCATTTCTTCTGGCAGTCATGTCCACAGTATGTGAAACGGTCTCAATTTCTTTATGTTGTCCATATAAACATCCTCTCAGTCTGTCACATACCCTTGGGTATCCCCAGGCTTTGGTTAAATGGTCAGTTCCGAGGTGAGCTCGTTCATATAGCCCTAGGTGTGCTTTTCGGATTAAATTTTCGAACCTTGGATTCTTTGACATCAAACCATGGGTGTTGTGAGAAGACAGAGCTGAAAGATACCAAATAGAAGCGTTCTTATCTACTATTCTCGGTGAATATCCTTGAAGATCTAGAGAAAATGGGGACCCAAGGATCAAGATGCCAGAGGATTAGGCAGATTGGAGTTCATCTGTCTGCACAAATGCATCAAGAATACATCAGAATTGGAACAGTTCTCACAGAGCCCCCTCTGAACACTAGCAAAGAACCTCCACCACCTAAAAGGATAAGAAAGATTCCTGCTGAGCCAGGTAGGACCAAAATATAAGAAGGAGAATGAAGAGGAGAGGAACTGGGATGGGACCTGTAAGCTTGGGGGGATCTGAAGAGAGAAGAGGTGTCCACATTCGGGGGAGCCCCTCACTGGGGGAGCCCAGTTTGGACAGAAGGAGAGCCTCATTCTCTGTGGAAGAGACCATGGCAACTCGCGTGTGGCAGCAGGACAGTGAGAGCTGCAGATGGGGTGCTGAGCCCTGCCCTGCCCACCCAGCCTGAGAGGGTGTCCACCTCAAGGGTGTCCACCACTGCAGACACGGGCTGGGTGCTGGAACGTGGGCTTTGGAGAGCAGACCCAGGCAGAGGACTGCTGTTGGCCACGAGGAGACATCCTGAGGGGACGGGAGGGAGGGAGGAGCTCTGCAAATGGGATGCTTGTGGAGGAAGCCTGCACCACCAAAGCGCAGAGCGCCATTGTTGAGTGAGGCCCAAAGGGAAGAACCCCACCGCAGCCTCTCTCCCCCTGTGCTGGTCCCTCATCCCTGGCAGTAGGAAGGACCGCCACCCGGGTGGGCTCTATTGAGGCCCAGCCACGGCCTCCCCCATGCCCCTCCTCCATCGTCAGCAGACCCCTGTGCTCTGGGGCAGCCTCTGGAGCAGACACCTGTGGGTGGGCCACATGCTCAGATGGAGCTGAAAGCACAGCTGAGCCCCAGGGTTGAGGAAGCAAAGCTGAGGTCTCTGCTCGCAGCTGCACTAACCATGCTTTTACACAGGCAACCGGCTTTGTCAGCTCAGCCCCTGCAGAGCATCTGAAGGACAAGGGGGCCGCCCCAGTCACAGCAGGTGTGGTTTAGCAACTGGAGACTTTCTGGGCTAAATGTCCTAAATTATTTTGCCAATTTATTTTAAAAATCTTTGAGTTAATTGAATACATTGAAGTATTTTACTATTGAGAAATTGTGGCAAATACACTTCAGATATTTAAAATAAGTTCACATAAAGAAAAGTGAAACTTTGGTGTAACTCAGAGAATTGCATTCTCTCATTTTATGGAGGTTTTGCTTTATACATTGAAAGGTGTTTAAAATTTATAAGTTCATATTTGTAGCTTCCAGTGTTTTAGAAAATACAAATCAGAAAAAAAATTGCCTCCAATATTCCTAGAATATTGGTAGTTTGTTTACAATTCCACTCACACACTTCTTTCTAGAGGTAGAAGCAAACTTTAAAAAGAGCATCTTATATTTACTCATTAATGGGCAGTTTTCCTAGGACCCCCAAGATATGAAAGAGCAGCCATCTCATGCAAGTTGTCACAAGCCAAGAAGAGAATCTGAATTCTCACTGTGAATGAGAAAAGTAATCATGGAGCTGAATTCAAGAATGATTGAGAGGCAGAAGGAGCCAGGCAATGCCCGTCTATGATAGCAACAGAAATAAACCCAGAGTTCTCCAAAATCATTTCCACTGGAGCATGTCTTCCCAAGCCACAGGACAAAGGCTGACTTCCTGACTGCTCCTTGGACCTCTCACCTGAGTCATCAGCTCCATCCATTCACACCTACCTGGGTATGTAGCTGTTGTGTCCATTCTCCTTACATCCCAGGGATTCTTCATTTGCTCCAGAAAGGTGACCAGGTCCGGCTTAGAGACCACAAGACCTGTTCATCAGAGAAAGGAATACCTGTTTTGCTAGAGATTCTTAAGTTTCCAACCCAATATGTATTTGGGTGAGAAGAGAACACACGGGTGAATGTTAATACAACCTAGAGGATGATTTCCCCAAATACTTTTTTGAAAGCACGCTTACAATACTAACAAATACATAAAAATCAGATCCTGACATTCTGGTCAAGTACTACAAGGTGAAAATAAGTACTGTAAATGTGATTTTAAGAGGAAGGTGTCACTATTTAATACCATGGAACTGATTCAATCACCACCACGCTAGAGTGAAGGAGGCAGATTACATCACGGAAGAAACAGGTTAGAATCATATTGAATCACCATGAAGGCTTTCTTTCTAAACCCACAAATACCCATTTCCTGCTAGAAAGCAGGGATCTGAAGGTATTGTTGGAAGCAGAAAATTCCAGGAGACGTTCTAGAAATGCAGGAACCAAACCCAGTGGTGGAAAAGGGATTTTGGAAGGCAGTTGTCCTCACCCAAGGAGGCTAGGTTCCTGTAATTCTCTAACATCACATCCCTATACAAGTCCCGCTGACCGAAGTCTAGGCATTCCCACTCCTCTTGAGTGAAGTCTATGGCCACATCCTGGAACATCAGCTGTCCCTGAAATACAAATTACACATGCATGTACTTTGGGGTCACAAAGAGTCAGACACAACTGAGATGGCAAACAGTCAGACAGGACTGATGACTGAATGACTGAACTGACTGTCTGACTGACTGTCATATGGCCAAGCGAAGGATTCCTAACCTGAACCTAAATGAAAGCAGTAATTTCAGAGAACTGATTTTGATTTAGTGTAGTTTCTGGTATCACACAGTAACATTTCCTACCACATTTTTAACCCCAAGAAAAGAGGATATGATTCACAAGAAACTATTCTGATGTGGAAGGCAAATTATAATGTAATCAGATCAACACTGGCACATTTCTTTTGAGTGTTGTACTCGTGTGACCCAGGAGAAATTGTCTACCAAAAAACAGGAAACATTTTTAACAAGCAGATTCTGATCCAAGAGTTCTGGAGTGGAGAAAATGTGCCACCTTTTTACCAAGCTTATTTGAACTCGTGATGTTGCAAATTCTGCTCCACAAATGACCATTCTGAACAGCAATGAAGGAGAACAGTAGGGAAGAAATCATACTTCAGTCTGAACTTTAAGTCTTTAACAGATTTTGCAGGTCTTATAGGATAGTAACCTTGCAGCAAGAATCATTTTAACTATTTAGTATATACTGTATATCTTTCTGACAGTTTTTACAGAATCTTGAATGTGCAACAGAAATAATAGCTCCTCTGTCCATAGGATTCTCCAGGCAAGAACACTAGAATGGGTAGCTATTCCCTTCTTCTGAAAATCGTAAAAAATAGATTAAAAAACAGCGATCAAATCATGTTAACAGGTTTGTGGGCATAGACATATACTAAAATGGGACTATATAATTATTAATAGTTAATAGTTAAAAGTTGTCATGTCAATAAAATAAAATTTTTTAAACTTATTAAAAATGTACATAAATATATGGGGATGACATTATTTTTATTTCTTTAAATAAACTAGAATACAGACATACAGAATGATGTAACATAAAGTAAAGCTCTGGTTCTGAATTTTTTAATTTCCTGAAAATCTATATCATTTCTAAAGAGCTATAGTTCAAATTTTAACACAGTTGAACATAGATTAGCACTAATAAGATTCTTATAAACATTTTGGAAAATACAAAAATGTGATGTGACTCTGTGATGTGAGCGTGGAGTGTACCTGAAAATGATCAGACCTGGGCTTGAGTGACAAAAATCCCCCAAAACCCACCATCTCTACAAAACATAGTCATCTTCCAAAGCAAAGAGAAACTTAAGAGCATATGGGATTCCCCCATTAACTGTGATAGTTTAGGCACATCCCTCACTTTTTCCCCCAAGACACTTGTTAAAGACAAAAGGAAAATACATGAGCTGTGTAGCATGGGAATCTCACAGAAGTACTTAAACCACTGACCATCACAGTCGTGGGTTTAGAAGTACATGGAAGAATGCATTACCACTGCATGGGTATTTTGGCAATATTATGGAAACCATGATCTGAATCTATCATTAAAAAATGTTAGTTTGAAGCAAATTTCACTTCATATATACCTCTCATGTCATGTAGCCTAATACCACAGTTAATTAGTAAGTCTTTCTTATCGACACAAAGGACGAGGATAGTCTCAACTACATTTTTTATTTTTGAATAAAATCTGGACCACTGAGTCCATTCTGTTTCCAAGGGCATTGCCTTTTGCTCCTGTTCTAAAGACCTGAAGTTGCATCCAGATATAAACTCATCATGGCATTTCCCGTACCTCCCTAGGATCCCAACCCAGAGCAGCATTCCACTGAGAATCCCTTATACCAGCGCCTCCCTGTCTGCCTTTCACAAAGGGAATATGCTCAACATTGAAACTGACAGAACAGTGTTGAGAATTGATCATGCTCTATAGAAAGCCAGGATACAGACATTGGATAACAGGCTCTGGGACATAAGGAAGAAACAGTCTAAAGAGCCAGTCTTCTCTAACACAAGAAAAATTGGAAAAAGTAAGCAGTTGGCAACAAACACCCTAGGTAGAAAACTTAGCAGAGAATTGAATGTTTGCAGATGTTCAGACCAGGCATTTCAGGAGGAAAAGCAGACACAGCCCCAGACCCGGGACAGGACATTTACCTGAGAAGCTGCCATTTCCTCCTCTTCTACCTCCAGTTCCTTGTCTCCTCTGGGGATTTTGATCACAAACTCACATCTGGGTGTTAAGTAAATAACTTTAAAGGCACCCACACAATTCTTGAATCTGCAACTGCTGCAATGATCGAGAAGAAACAGTTTTCTTGTTTCCCTTTGCGGTTTTCAGAGCTCCTTTTTTATTTTCTCCTTCCTGGCCTGCAGTGGATAATCTAGACTAACCTGATATGCTAATCACATCCTTTGTTTGGTGCTTACCTTTCCTGCATTCTCTATGCAGACCACCCCTGCTAGTTCTTCTCCTTTCTTTCTGCCTTACAGAGTGCAGGCCACAGTACAATTCCCAAGACATACCAGACAGAACTCCAGGTTACCTGACCCAGCCTGTGAGGGTTTTTGAAACAATGTAAGAGGGAGACCCAGGTCCAAGAGCCAAGAGCTGCAGCCTCACACTCAGCACCCCTGTGACCTCAGGAAGGGAGCATTTAGGGTGGGAACTTTTAGAAACAAAGAATGTCAGCCTGATTGATTGGGGAGGGGCTCCTTCTAGGAGGGGTGTGGCCCTCCAAGACCTGGTATCTGTTCCCTTGAACTATTTATTGCCAAATTCACACTGAAATGCAACAAAGAAGAGGAAACCACTAATCCATTCAGTTCAGTTCAGTCACTCAGTCATGTCGGACTCTTTGCCACCCCATAAACGGCAACACGCCAAGCCTCCCAATCCATCAACAAGTCCCGGAGTCCACCAAAATCCATGTCCATTAAGTCGGTGATGCCATCCAACCTCTGTCCATCCTCTGTCCTCCCCTTCTCCTCCTGCCCTCAACCTTTCCCAGCATAAGGGTCTTTTCAAGTGAGCCAGCTCTTCACATCAGGTGGCCCGAGTATTGGAGTTTCAGCTTCAACATCAGTCCTTCCAACGAACACCCAGGACTGATCTCCGTTAGGATGGACTGCTTGGATCTCCTTGCAGTCCAAGGGACTCTCAAGAGTCTTTTCCAACACCACAGTTCAAAAGCATCAATTCTTTGGTGCTCAGCTTTCTTTATAGTCCAACTCTCACATCCATACATGACCACTGGAAAAACCATAGCCTTGACCAGACAGACCTTTGTTGGCAAAGTAATTCTACCTTTTAATATGTTGTCTAGGTTGGTCATAACTTTCCTTCCAAGGAGTAAGCGTCTCTTAATTTTATGGCTGCAATCACCATCTGCAGTGATTTTGGAGCCCACAAAAATAAAGTCAGTCACTGTTTCCACCGTTTCCTCATCTATGTGGCATGATGTGATGGGACTGGATACAATGATCTTAGTTTTCTGAATGCTGAGCTTTAAGCCAACTTTTTCACTCTCCTCTTTCATTTACATCAAGACCATTCAGATATTACCTAAATCGAATCCCTTATGACTGTACAGTGGAAGTGAGAAATAGATTTAAGGGACTAGATCTGATAGACAGAGTGCCTGATGAAGTATGGACAGAGGTTTGTGACATTGTACAGGAGACAGGAATCAAGACCATCCCCAAGAAAAAGAAATACAAAAAAGCACAATGCCTGTCTGAGGAGGCCTTACAAATAGCTGTGAAAAGAAAACAAGCAAAAAGCAAAGGAGAAAAGGAAAGTTAGACCCATTTGAATGCAGAGTTCCAAAGAATAGCAAGGAGAGATAAGAAAGGCTTCCTCAGCAATCAATGCAAAGAAACTGAGGAAAACAATAGAATGGGAAAGACTAGAGATCTCTTCAAGAAAATGAGAGGTACCAAGGGAACATTTCATGCAAAGATGGGCTCGATAAAGGATAGAAATGGTATGGACCTAACAGAAGCAGAAGATATTAAGAAGAGGTGGAAAGAATACACAGAAAAACTGTACAAAAAAGATCTTCATGACCGAGATAGTCACGATGGTGTGATCACTCACGTGGAGCCAAACATCCTGCAATGTGAAGTGGCCCTTAGCAAGCATCACTACAAACAAAGCTAATGGTGATGATGGAATTCCACTTGAGCTTTTTCAAATCCTGAAAGATGATGCTATGAACGTACTGTGCTCAATATGCCCCCAAATTTGGAAAACTCAGCAGAGGCCACAGGACTAAAAAAGGTGTTTTCATTCCAATCCCAAAGAGAGGCAATGCCAAAGAATGATCAAACTACTGCACAATTGCACTCATCTCACACGCTAGTAAAGTGATGCATAAAATTCTCCAAGCTAGGCTTCAGCAATACGTGAACCATGAACTTCCAGATGTTCAAGATGGCTTTAGAGAAGGCAAAGGAATCAGCAATCAAATTGCCAACACCTGCTGAATCATCGAAAAAGAAAGAGAGTTCCAGAAAATCATCTATTTCTGCTTTATTGACTGTACCAAAGGTTTTGACTCTGTGGACCACAATAAACTGTGGAAAATTCTGAAAGAGATGGGAATACCAGACCACCTGAGCTGCCTCTTGAAAAACCTGTATGCAGGCCAGGAAGCAGCAGGTAGAAATGGACATGGAAGAACAGACTGGTTCCAAATAGGAAAAGGAGTACGTCAAGGCTGTATATTGTCACCCTGTTTATTCAACTTATATGTAGAGTACATCATGAGAAATGCTGGGCAGGAGGGAGCATAAGCTGGAATCAAGATTGCAGGAGAAATATCAATAACCTCAGGTATGCAGATGACACCACCCTTATGACAGAAAGAGAAGAAGAACTAAAGAGCCTCTTGATGAAAGTGAAAGAGGAGAGTGAAAAAGTTGGCTTAAAGCTCAACATTCAGAAAACTAAGATTATGACCTCCAGTCCCATCATTTCATGGCAAATAGATGGGGAAACAGTGTCAGACTTTATTTTTTTGGGCTCCCAAATCACTGTAGATGGTGATTGCAGCCATGAAATGAAAAGAGGCTTAGTCCTTGGAAGGAAAGTTATGACCAACCTAGACAGCATATTAAAAAGTAGAAGTACTTTGTCAACAAAGGTCTGTCTCGTGAAATCTATGGTTTTTCCAGTGGTCATGTATGGATGTGAGAGTTGGACTATAAAGACAGCTGAGCACAGAAGAATGGCTGCTTTTGAACTGTGGTGTTGGAGAAGACTCTTGAGAGTCCCTTGGACTGCAAGGAGATCCAAGAAGTGCATCCTAACGGAGATCAGTCCTGGGTGTCATTGGAAGGACTGATGTTGAAGCTGAAACTCGAATACTTTGGTTACCTGATGCGAAGATCTAACTCATTGGAAAAGACCCTGAGGCTGGGAAAGGTTAAAAATGGGAGGAGAAGGGGACGACTGAGGATGAGATGGTTGGATGGCATCACCGACTCAATGGACATGCATTTGGGTGGACTCCGGGAGTTGTTGGACTGGGAGGCCTGGCGTGTTGCGGTTTATGGGGTCGCAAAGAGTCGGACATGACTGAGAGACTGAACTGACCTGAATTGAAGTGATGGTGAGTGACTGCTTTGTGGGAATCCCCTGGGGCCCTTGGGTTGCTGGAAGGATTTGTTCTCAGAATTCTTCCCAAAGATATCCTGCCTGCTGCATGCTAAGTTTTTCAATAGTGTCCAACTATTTGGGAACCCATGGAGTGTGGCCCTCCCTTGCTTCTCTGCCCATGGGGAGTCGCCAGGAAAGAATACTGGAGTGGGTTGCCATGCCCTTCTCCAGGGGATACTCCCAACCCAGGGATAAACCTGCATCTCTGACATCTCCCCATTGAGAGGTGGGTTCTTTACCACTAGCTCCACCTGGAGAGCTCCATGATACCTTAAGTACTTAGTTTTTTTCACTCCCCTCTGCATCCTGGGGGACACAGCTTTTCATAAAATGATTTGCATTGTGACCACCTGCCTGCAGGTGAGGGATCTCCAACTTCAGAGACCAGGAGCCTGAAGGTATATTCATCACAGCTTTCTTTGAAAATAAATCAGGGGCAGCAGTGAACACTGGATTAAAAATGTTTGCCTAGATGGTTAGTCATGTCTGACTCTTTGTGACCCCTTGTACTGTAGTCCACCAGTCCTCTCTGTCCATGCGAATTCCCAAGCAAGAATACAGAAGTGGGGTGCCATTTCCTCCTCCAGGAGATCTTCCTGACCCAGGGATAAAGCCCATGTCTTTTGGGCCTCCTGCATTGACCAGCGGATTCTTTAGTAGTATTGCCACCTGGGAAGCCCAAAAGTGTGTATGGGAATGGAGAAATGTCTGTGAAAATGATGCCCTAAATGCATATCTGATGACCAATAAAGGAAATAATGATCTGTGTTAAGTAATAAGTGACATGACTCTTGTCTGGGGTAAAAAACAATGCGAGCTCAAAGTTGAGAATAAGGTTTTATTTGGTAGGAATGTTAGGTCTTGACCCCAGGAGACAGTATGTTAAGTGATTTTGAGACAGCTGACTCTGAGGAGGCAGGGCAGGAGAAAGACTTTATACAAGTTTGCAGCAAGGGGCAGGTAATCTGACTATTAAAGGTTACAATAATTTAAAAAAAAGATCCCTCACATGAAGAGATTTAGTGATCTTCTCTGTATGGTAAGATGCAAGTGTCCAGGCTTATTGAAATAATTTCTTTCATATGCATCTAGCTATCCGGAAGTAATCCTGCTTCCTCGATTGTTCACATCCTAATTCCTTGTTTACTATAAGAGATGGCAGATGAGGAAGCTGGGCTCCTCTCACATCTCCCCTCGCCCCCCACCCCACCCACACCAGCAGTTAGGGAGTAGAAAATAGCTCATGGTTTCTGAATAGCTGGCTTTGTTTCACCTGGACCCAGAGACTTGCATTTACAAAAGGCTTTTTAATAGTAGGGCTTTCCTAGTGGCTCGCTTCGTAAAGATTCTGCCTGCAATGCAGAGGACTGGGTTCAATTCCTGGGTCAGGAAGATCCATGACAACCCGTTCCAGTATTCTTGCCTGGAGAATGCCATGGACAGAGAAGCCTAGTGGGCTACAGTCCATGGGGTTGCAAAGAGTGGGACAGGACTGTGCAACCAACTTTCACTTTCTTTAGTGGTAGAGTCAAGATTTCCTTGACAAACATCAACAAGCTCAGATACACAGATGATGCCGCTTTAATGGCAGAAAGCAAAGAGGAACTAAAGAAGCTCTTGATAGGGCTGCAAGAAAGTGGAAACGTTGGCTTAAACTCAACATTCAGAAAAACTGAGATTGTGGCCTCCAGTCCCATCACATCATGGCAAATAGATGGGGGAAAGGTGGAAACAGTGACAGTATTACTTTTGTCGGGCTCCAAAATCACTGTGGATGGTTACTGTAGCCATGACATTAAATGACACTTGCCCCTTGGAAGAAAATCTATGAAAAACCTAGACAGCATATTAAAAAGCAGAGACATCACTTTGCCAGAAGCTATGGTTTGTCTCGTGGTCATGTGTGGATGAAATAACTAGACTATAAATAAGGCTGAGCACGAAAGAATTGATGCTTTCTAATTGTGGTGCTGGAGAAGACTTCTGAGAGTCCCTTGGACTGCAAGGACAGCAAACCAGTCAATCCTAAAGGAATTCATCCCTGAATATTCATTAGAAAGACTCATCCTGAGGCTGAAGCTCCACACTTTGGCCATCTGACAATAAGCCAACTCACTGGAAAACAGTCTGATGCTAGTATTGAGTAAAAAGATGTTCAACATGAAATTTGCAAGTTAAGTTTTATTTGGGGCAAAATTTTTCCATTGTTTCCCCATCTATTTGCCATGAAGTGATGGGATTGGATGCCATGACTTTAGGTTTCTGAATGTTGAGTTTTAAGCCAACTTTTTCACTCTTCTCTTACAGTTTCATCAAGATGCTCTATAGTTCTTTTTCGCTTTCTTCTTGCTGAAGCTGAAACTCCAACACTTCGGCCACCTGATGCAAAGAAAGGATTCACTGGAAAAGACCCTGGTGCTGGGCAAGATTGAAGGCAGGATGAGATGGTTGGATGGCATCACCAAGTCGATGGACATGAGCTTGAGGAAGCTCTGGGAGTTGGTGATGGACAGGGAAGCCTGGCGTGCTGCAGTCCATGGGTTGCAAAGAGTGGACACGACTGAGAGACTGGACTGAACTGGGGCAAAATGAGGACTGCTGCCCAGGAGGGAGAACTTCAGATAGCTCTGAGGGACTGCTCCAAAGTGGCAGTGGGGGAAAGTCAATGCATAAGGTTTTGGTGAAGGGGGAGTTCAATGCCATTAAACACTCATTTTCCAGAAGGTTTCTTGCTAATCATGAGGATCTGATATAACCATGAAAGGATTCAGTGCTTCTCTAGTCATGAGATGCAAGGATTGAGATAATAAAATATGTTCCTCAGTCCAGTTCAGTCACTCAGTCATGTCCGACTCTTTGCAACCCCATGAATCGCAGCACGCCAGGCCTCCCTGTCCATCACAAACTCCTGGAGTTTACACAAACTCACACCGATCGAGTCGGTGATGCCATCCAGCCATCTCATCCTCTGTCGTCCCCTTCTCCTGCCCCCAATCCCTCCCAGCATTAGGGCCTTTTCCCATGAGTCAACTCTTCGCATGAGGTGGCCAAAGTATTGGAGTTTCAGCTTCAGCATCAGTCCTTCCAATGAACACCTAGGACTTATCTCATTTGGGATAGAGTGGTTCAATCTCCGTGCAGTCCAAGGGACTCTCAAGCGTCTTCTCCAACACCACAGTTCAAAAGCATCATTTTTTCAGCGCTCAGCTTTCTTTATAGTCCAAATCTCACATCCATACATGACCACTGGAAAAACCATAGCCTTGACCAGACAGACCTTTGTTGGCAAAGTAATGTCTCTGCTTTTGAATATACTATGTAGGTTGGTCATAACTTTCCTTCCAAGGAGTAAGCATCTTTTAATTTCATGGCTGCAATCACCATCTGCAGTGATTTTGGAGCCCCCAACAAATAAAGTGTGACACTGTTTCCACTGTCTCCCCATCTGTTCCTAAAAACATCCAACTATCTAAAGACCTGTCCCACCAGATTCCCTGGGGTGCAGAGTGCCTGACTCCACCCTGAACTCCCTCTGGGGTTGTTGAAGGGCAACAGCTATGCAGCATGGGGTTCTATCTCCATAGAGGCAGATAGCAAATGCCCTTGTGGTTCCATCACTGGCAATGCTATTGGCAAGTGCCAATCTGTAGTTGACACTGGGAAAGAGTGAAGGCAAAAGGAGAAGGGACCAGCAGAAGACGTGGTTGCTGGCATTATTGACTCAATGACCATGAGTTTGAGCACACACTGGGAGTTGACCAAAGACAGGGAAGCCTGGCTTGGTGTATTCCATGGGATCCCAAAGGTTTGGACACAACTTAGCAACTTACCGATGATAAGAATGAAGAAGACATGTTACATTAAGATAGAAGGTTAGAATTAGAAGAACTCATAATGAAATCTTTCTGTCAAATATCATAAATACCCATTTTCCCCTAGAAAGCAGATATGTTAAAGTCTCTTGTAGGAAGCAAAAGATTTCAGGAGACATTTTACAAATGCAGAAACCAAAACCCTGAGGGTAAGTAACCAATTCTGGGAGGAATTATCATCACCCAAGGAAGGGAATGAGCCTAAGATGGTGGAGTACAAGGACGTGTGCTTATCTTCTGCAAGAACTCCAAAATTACAACTCACTGCTGAACAACCATTGACAGGAGAATGTTGGATCCCACCAAAAAATGATACCCCATGTCCAAGGGCAAAGGAGAAGTCCCAGAAAGATGGTGGAGGGGTGAAATCGCATTTAGAATCAAACTGCATGCCCACCAGAGATCCTTGGAGGGCTCAAACAAAACATTGTGCACACCAGAACCCAATGACCACAGAAAGACTGAGTCAGAACTGTGTTTGAGTGCCCCCGCAGAGGTACGGGTCAGCAGTGGCCTTCCACAGGGGCAGGGGCTCTTTGTGCAGGAGACCTGGTCACACAGCCTGTGGCATACGCCTTCTTGAAAGAGGTCATCAGTAACCTCACGATAGAGCAGCCGAGCAGATGACCCACAAACTGTAGAACAGTTATACCAAAGAAATTCTCACACTGTCAAGAAAGTTTCAGGACTCACAACAGAATTCCCAACCTGGGGATCTGGCAAAGGGACGGAGAACCTCAGGGAATTTGACTTTGCAGGCCAGTGGGATTTGATTATAGAACTTACACAGGACAGAAGAAACAGACTCTTGGAGGACACAGGCAAGACCTTGTGTGAACCAAGACCTAGGAGAAAGGAGCAGTGACCCAATAAGAAACTGACTCAGACTTGCCTGTGAGTGTCCAGGAGTCTCCAGTGGAGACGTGGGTCGGGGTGGCCTGCTGCAGAGTTGGGGGCACTGAGCGCAGCAGTGCTTGCACTGGACCTTTGGAAGGAGGCCCATTACCTCCACCATCTTTGGTCTCAGTTCAAACAACAGGGAGGAAACACAGCCCTGCCCATCAACAGAAAATTGGATTAAAGATTTACCGAGCATGGCCCACTCATCAGAACAAGACCCAGTTTCCCCCTCAGTCAGTCCCATGAATCGCAGCATGCCAGCCCTCCCTGTCCATCACCAGTTTCCGGAGTTACTCCAACTCATGTCCATCGAGTCGGTGATGCCATCTAACCATCTCATCTTCTGTCGTCCCCTTCTCCTCCTGCCTCCAATCCCTCGTAGCATCAGGGTCCACTCCAATGAGTTAACTCTTCGCATGAGGGGCCAAAGTAGTGGAATTTCAGCTTCAGCATCAGTCCTTCCAATGAGCACCCAGGACTGATCTCTTTTAGAATGGACTGGTTGGATCTCCTTACAGTCCAAGGGACTCTCAAGAGCCTTCTCCAACACCACAGCTCAAAAGCAGTAATTCTTCATCACTCAGTTTTCTTCACAGTCCAAATCTCACATCCACACATGACCACTGGAAAAACCATAGCCTTGACTAGATGGACCTTTGATGGCAAAGTAATATCTCTGCTTTTAAATATGCTATCTAGGTTTGTCATAACTTTGGTTCCAAGGAGTAAGTGTCTTTTAATTTCATGGCTTCAATTGCCATCTACAGTGATTTTGGAGCCCCCCAAAATAAAGTCTGACACTGTTTCCACTGTTTCCCCATCTATTTTCCATGAAGTGATGGGACCAGATGCCATGATCTTAGTTTTCTGTATGTTGAACTTTAAGCCAACTTTTTCAATTTCATCAAGAGGTTTATAGTTCCTCTTCACTTGCTGCCATAGTGTCATTTGCATATCTGAGGTTATTGATATTTCTCCTGGCAATCTTGAATCCAGCTTGTGCTTCCTCCTGCCCAGCATTTCTCATGATGTACCCTGCATATAAGTTAAATAAGCAGGGTGACAATATACAGCCTTGACGTCCTCTTTTTCCTATTTGGAAGTAGTCTGTTCTTCCATGTCCAGCCCTAAGTGTTGCTTCCTGACCTGCATATAGGTTTCTTAAGAGGCAGGTCAGGTGGTCTGGTATTCCCATCTCTTTCAAAATTATTCACAGTTTATTGTGATAAACACAGTCAAAGGATTTGGCATAGTCATTAAAGCAGAAATAGATGTTTTTCTGGAACTCTCTTGCTTTTTTGATGATCCAGCGGGTGTTGGCAATTTGATCTCTGGTTCCTCTGCCTTTTCTCAAAGAAGATTGAACATCTGGAAGTTCACTGTTCATGTATTGCTGAAGCCTGGCTTGGAGAATTTTGAGCATTACTTTGCTACCATGTGAGGTGAGTGCAGTTGTGCGGTAGTTTGAACGTTCTTTGGCTTTGCCTTTCTTTGGAATTGGAGTGAAAACTGACCTTTTCCAGTCCTGTGGCCCCTGCTGAGTTTTCCAAATTTGCTGGCATATGGAGTGCAGCACTTTCACAGCATCATCTTTCAGGATTTGAAATAGCTCAACTAGATTGCTATCAGTTCCACTAGCTTTGTTCATAGTGATGCTTTCTAAGGCCCACTTGACTTCACATTCCAGGATATCTGGCTCTAGGTGAGTGATCATACCATCGTGATTATCTGGGTCATGAAGATCTTTTTTTTGGTACAGTTCTCCTATGTATTTTTGCCACCTCTTCTTCACATCTTCTGCTTCTGTTTGGTCCACACCATTTCTGTCCTTTATCGAGCCCGTCTTTGCATGAAATGTTCCCTTGGTACCTCTCATTTTCTTGAAGAGATGTCTAGTCTTTCCCATTCTGTTGTCTTCCTCTATTTCTTTGCAATGATTGCTGAGGAAGGCTTTCTTATCTCTCCTTGCTCTTCTTTGGAACTCTGCATTCAGATGCTTATATCTTTCCTTTCCTCCTTTGCTTTGGCTTCTCTTCTTTTCACAGCTATTTGTAAGACCTCCTCAGACAGCCATTTTGCTTCTTACCATTTCTTTTCCATGGGGATGGTCTTGCTCCCTCTCATGTACAGTGTGAGAAACCTCCATCCATAGTTCACCATGCACTCTGTCTATCAAATCTAGTCCCTTAGATCTATTTCTCACTTCCACTGTCTAATCATAAGGGATTTGATTTAGGTCATACTTGAATGGTCTAGTGGTTTTCCCTACTTTCTTCAATTTAAGTCTGAATTTGGCAATAAGGAGTTCATGGTCTGAGCTACAGTCAGCTCCTGGTCATGTTTTTGCTGACTATATAGAGCTTCTCCTTCTTCGGCTGCAAAGAATACAATCAATCTGATTTCGGTGTTGACCATCTGATGATGTCCATGTGTAGAATCTTCTCTTGTGTTGTTGGAAGGGGGTGTTTGCTATAACCACTGCATTCTCTTGGCAAAACTTTGTTAGCCTTTGCCCCCTTTCATTCCATACCCCAAGGCCAAATTTGCCTGTTACTCCAGTTGTTTCTTGACTTCCCACTTTTGCATTCCAGTCCCCTATGATGAAAAGGACATCTTTCTTGGGTATTAGGTTTGAAAGCTCTTGCACGTCTTCATAGAAACATTCAACTTCAGCTTCTTCAGTGTTACTGTTTGGGGCACAGACTTGGATTACTGTGATATTGAATGGTTTTCCTTGGAAATGAACAGAGATCATTTTGTCATTTTCGAGATTGCATCCAAGTACTGCATTTCAGACTCTTGTTGACCATGATGGCTACTCCATTTCTTCTAAGGGATTCCTGCCCACAGTAGTAGATAAATTGTCGTCTGATATAAATTCACTCATTA